CGGCGGATCGGCTACAAGTTCCTGGAGAGCCTCCTGCACAGAGACGCGTCGGAGGTGGTCATCACGCTGGTGTCCAGCTCGGGGCTCCGGGAGCTGCTGGCGCAGGTGGCCATGTGGCCCAGCTTCCTGGAGCTGCTGTGCCAGGTGCTGCGCAAGGCGTGCAGCTCCCGCATGGACCGGCAGAGCGTGCAGCAGCTGCTGGGGCTGGTCAAGGAGTCCAACTTCCTCAAGGTCTGCCTGCCTCAGTACGCGGCCGACATGATGACGGAGCCCGCGCCCGCCCTGCGGCAGCAGTACCCGGGGCACGTCGGCAACATCGTCGCGCTCCTCCAGGACCTGGTGAGCATCTTCCCGGCCAGCTCCGTGCAGAACATCTCCGTGCTGATGTCCATCCTGCCAGCCTCCATCAACGTGCTGAGAGCCTCCGGCGTGGACATCGCGGAGCAGACGGAGAGGAGCTTGGAGAAAGTCCAGGCCCTGATCCAGCACCTGCAGGAGAAGAAGCGCGAGGGCACCCTGCGGACCGACAGCTACACGCTGCTGCAGCCCCAGCCTGGCGGGCAGGAGGACTCCTACCGCGCCATGACCGTCTACCCCACCTACAACGAGGTCCACCGGGACGAGAAGCCCTTTCTTCGCCCCAACATCGTGTCTGGGAGGTACGAGAGCACCGGCGTTTACCTGGACACGCATTTCCGGCTCCTGAGAGAGGACTTTGTCAGGCCTCTGAGGGAAGGCATCCTGGAGCTTCTGCAGAGCTTCGAAGACAAAGGCTTGAGGAAGAGGAGGTTCGACGACATCAGGATCTACTTCGACACACGGATCATCACTCCGCTCTGCTCCTCCTCCGGCATCGTCTACAAGGTCCAGTTTGACACCAAGCCGCTGAAGTTCGTGCGGTGGCAGAACTCCAAGCGCCTGCTCTACGGCTCCCTGGTCTGCATGTCCAAAGACCACTTCGAAACCTTCCTCTTTGCCACGGTGTCGAACCGCGACAGCACCGACCTGGCCAAGGGCATCGCACAGCTGTGCTTCACCGGGCACAGCCAGGCGCTGCTGGCAGAGGCCCAGCCCTCGGACTCCTTTCTCATGGTGGAGACGACAGCCTACTTCGAAGCCTACCGGCACGTGCTGGAGGGGCTGCAGGAGGTCCAGGAAGAAGACGTCCCTTTTCAGAAGTACATCGTGGAGTGCGACACCCTCGTGGGAGAGCCGGCGTACCTGAGAATGGGCAGCACCTACAACCTCGCACCTCTGATGGAGGAGCCCTCCCCAGACGGAGAGAGGGGCCTGGCCAGCCCCGAGGGCTTGAGGAGACAGAGGGTGAACGTTCTCGACCCCAGCCAGTGGCCTTCCATGGAAGCCTTGAAGCTGGACGAGTCGCAGATGCAGGCCTTGCAGCTGGCGCTCACCAAGGAGCTGGCCATTATCCAGGGGCCTCCTGGAACTGGTGAGAGAGGCTGGCTTACAGCTGCTGTTCGGTGGCTTTTTGCAAACTCCCTTAAGCCCCCCCTCTTACAAGCCCCACCTGATGAACCCAAGGTGGAGAATAATCCAAGTGAGGGGGAACGCTGCATGCCTTGCTCTTGCTTAGGAAGGAAGGGCTGGCCCTGGATCTCTCTCTCCTGGCTCATGGGCAGGTATGGTGCAAGCACCTTTCTGCTCAATCCAGGGAGGGTCAGGGCAGCCAGGCAGCTGCCCTGCGACCACATAGTACTTCCAGGCCCCTGTTGTGTGGCTGGAGTCTGTCAGATGTGTCCCGCAGTGCTGGGTAGCTCCACTGCAGTCAGGGTCACGGGGAACGCAGGCCATCCTCTGTTCTGCGTGAATAGCTGAAACACCAGTCTGGATTTAGCCGTAAGCCAAATACAGCCTTCAAGAGGGTTTGTGTTGTGGGCAGAAGGACCCCCTAGGATCCTGGGCTGTCATGGGTCTTGCACCATAGCCCTGCGCTGTCAGTTGCTTCCTTCCTAACACTAGGCTTTCAGCTCCTGGTTCTCTGGCCCCGATACGCTGCAGCGCTGACTGCAGAGGTTTCAAACTAGATCCTGCTGTCATGGCCTAAGTTTTTCTATGGTGCCCACTAGTGTAACACCTGAGTCTGAATCGCATAACGTGTGCCCCAGTTATGCCCAGAGGCTTCCTGTAAGGTAGGTCTGCACCCTGCCAGGCCTGTATGTGCACGCAGGAGGAGACAGTCCATCCCCAGGTATCTTTTCTCTGCAGAGATCAGACAGGGAAGGTCAGCATGTAAAACCCAGATCAGCTGGCTCCTGGCGCAGCACCCGGTACTCTGGACTGTGCTGCTATCTTATAGATAGTTTCATAGTTTCTAGGGTCGGAAGGGACCTGGGCAGATAATCTAGTCCGACCCCTGCCATGGCAGGAAAGAGTACTGGGGGTCAAACGACCCCAGCAAGATGGTCATCTAACCTCCTCTTAAAAACCCCCAGGGTGGGAGCCTGCACCACCTCACTTGGAAGCTGGTTCCAGACCCTGGCCGCCCTGACTGTGAAGTAGCGCCTCCTGATGTCCAACTTAAACCTTCCCTCCGCCAGCTTGTGACCGTTATTCCTGGTCACTCCTGGCAGCGCCCGGGGGAACAGGGACTCCCCCAGTGCCTGTTGATCCCCCCTGACTAGTTTATAGCAGGCCACAAGGTCCCCCCTCAGCCTTCTCTTCTGGAGGCTGAACAGGTTCAGGTCCCGTAACCTTTCCTCATAGGACCTGCCCTGCTGTCCCTTGATCATGCGAGTGGCCCTCCTCTGGACTCTCTCGATGCTGTCCACATCCCTCTTAAAGTGCGGCTCCCAGAACTGGACACAGTACTCCAGATAGACCTGGTGCTCGGAGAGATTTCCTGCCCCTCGACATGTCCTGATGGTTCTCCCAGTTCTGAGATGGCACGTGGGGCTTGGGCCTCCAGACTGATTCTGGGTTTGTCCTGCAGGGAAGACCTATGTGGGTTTGAAGATCGTCCAGGCTTTCCTGACCAACGAGCAGGTGTGGCAGAAGTCTCCCATCCTCGTGGTCTGCTACACCAACCATGCCCTGGACCAGTTCCTGGAAGGTTAGAGGGTCTGTGTGGTAGAGGAGGGAAGCCCTTTTGGATGGGGAGGAGCTCAGACCCATGCTCTGTGCTGGAGCTGTCTAGCCTTTCACTCTGGTGGTTGCCTTGGGTCCAGTCTTCACTGCTGTGCAGTGCGAAGGCCCCTTTGCAAGCCAGCCGAGCTGAACCCTGAGGAGGTGCCCTGGGGTGCGGGAGCTGTGCTTCCCTCCAGTGACATGTTCCTTTTGTGCTCAGGGATCTACAAGTCCCAGAAGAACGGGATCGTGCGCGTGGGGGGCAGAAGCAGCAGCGAGGTCCTGAAGCAGTTCACGCTGCGGGAGCTGAGGAAAAAGTGTGACTTCCGCCGCAATCTACCACCGCACCTGCGCAGGGCCTACGTGGACGTACGTACAGGACCCAGGCCGCCTAGGAGAGGGCTGCCTCCATCAGGGAAGGGACCCCCAGCAAACCACTCCATGGAGCTGGCTCTGCCAGGCCATCTCCTCACCTGCCCTTCAGTCTGCAGCTGGTGCTGACACCCATCTCTTGATCTGCCTGTTCTTGTTTTCTGTGCGGCCCTTTCCTTTTCCCTCTGCTGTTCCTGGATTCTGTCTTCCTGGAGCGCAGTACCCCTGAAAGCCTGTGTCTTGTGTTGGGCAGATCACGAACCAGATGAAGCATTCGGAGCAGGAGCTGCGCGAGGGAGCCAGGCACCTGGAGTGCACAACGTACGGCGTGCTGCACGAGCGCCACCTGGAGAGATACATCTCCCTGCAGCACTGGGACAGCCTGACGAATGGGCCGGTAAGAGGAGCTTCCTCCCTCGGGGCCAGGCCCCTCCTGCCCCATGTCTGCCTGGCCACACCTCTTGTCCAGGTAATCCACAGTGCCCAGGGCAGTGATACCAACCAGGGGGACA